GTTAGGGCGGCTAGGAGCTGGAACCAACTTCCAAGGGAAGTGGTGCTGGCCCCTACCCTGGGGGTCTTTAAGAAGAGGCTGGATGCCTATCTGGCTGGACTCATTTGAGTCCCGTTTTTTGTTTTGGGGTTTTGTTGTTTTCCCGCCCTGGCGGGGGGTTGGGCTAGAAGATCTACTAGGTCCCTTCCGACCCTAAATCTATGAAACTATGAAACTATGAAACTATGAGAGAGGGTTGGGGGCCAGGCACATCTGCAGCCACCTGAGCCCTGTGGGGCGCAAGACCTTGAAAGACCCCAAGGAGGGAGAGTGGGGGCCAGGCACGGCGTGGCCATCTGAGCCCTGTGTGGGATGCAAGATCCTGAGGAGGGAGAATGGGGGCCAGGCATGGCTGTGGCTACCTGAGCCCACCAAGAAGGGAAGCCCCATGGCCCTGTGTGGAGGGGGCGGTGTGGAGCCCTGAGCGAAGGGGGCAGAGTTGAGTAGCCTGAGTGAAGTGGGGAAGAACATAGCACATTGACATGCTGCTCCAGGTGGGGGAGTAAGAGTCCCCTGTGAGACCCTGGAGCACGGGTTGTGGTGCTGGATAAGAATGCCCTGGTGAGGAGTAGCCCCAGTGAGGGGGCAGAGATGAGGACACCAGTGTGGGGAAGAAGAACCAGAGGGCAGAGTGCCCAGTGTGTTTGTATGTATTGAGTTGCCCCCGGAAGGGCCAGAGTAAGCTTAAACCCAGTCAGGTAACTGGCTGGCCACTACCCCGGTGAGGGTCATGGGAGAGTCCCAAAAGATGGTACATCTGCCACCCAAGGGATGTACTAGCTAAGCCTATGGCCTAAGGAGCCCGCTTCAAGAGGGAGCAAGGCAGAATGACTCATGGGTGTATGAAAGAGACCCTGTGAGAGAGGGTGGAGTGAGAGAGGCCCTAGTGAGAGGAGGGCGGTATGAAGTTGTGTGTGACTGTGGCCTGACGGTGCAGCCTAAGCTTGGTCCAGCGATTGGCTGGGAGCACTGTAATATCTGAATGCCATCTGTGAAGCATGGGCTGTGGTGTAGGGGAGGTACAGAGCTGCAGATAGCACCCCCTGACATTGGGGCACTAAATGGGCAGCCTTCCGCCTAATTAAGATCGTTAATCAATTAATAACAAGGCACCGCAGGTGAGTCAGGTGGGGAGTGTGCCCAAAGACGAGTGGGGAACCTAGCACTGTGGCTTGGTGGGGAGCCCCACCTTGCCACAGTTGTCTACAGCAAGAGATTTCCTGTTCGTTAGTCCTTTAGCTTAATTTCCCGTAGAACAAATTGTTTTGTCCTTGATGTTTAATGTTTGACGGGATTGTTGTGAGTTCCTCAATGTTTGTAGTTGTACAACTACATTATGGTGTATTACGAATCTCTTGAATGTCCTCCTCCCAACTTAGTTTTTCATCCTTGCTTGTTAGCATATCTCTACTCTTTCTTGACTGATAATGATTGGTTGCCTGTCAGATTTTTCATGATTTAGCCAATTGTTTTGGTGTATATTCATTCTCTCTTATCTTGCATGGTTTTGCTTCCTTCTTTGCCTTTTCAGTTGTAACTACTTGTGATACTTTCCCTAGTCCTTTCTTTTTCTTTTTCTGCTATTTTCACTTTGACTCTTGGCTCATTAAGATCTGTTTGCTTAAGCCTTTCTTTTTTGCAAATCCTAGAATAATTTAAATGATTTGACATCACATGCTGATGTCTTCCAGTTTTCCTCCATTTCCATTTTCCTAATTATTTGTATCTAGTATTTAAGCTATGCTAAATATCCATGAAGGTTTAGTTATTTAGCTTGCTAATTTCATATGGGTTTTCTTCTCTTCTTGCAAATTTTGTTCTATGTTGATAATTTCTATTACGAGGTTTTGGTTATTCTCTATATTTGCCCCCACTGAATGAACTTGCATTTTTCAGCGATTCAATCCATCTTCCTCCGATCATGATATAATGCATCTATTTTCTATAGTTCCATTGTGTAATGCCCATGTGTCTCTATGTATATCGTTCTGTGGAAAAGTCATCCTTCTAACAGCTAAGCTGTTTTACATAATTTGGCCATATGGTGTTTTTTGTTTGTTTTTGTAATTCTTTCTTTTTTGTAATGGAAAAGGAATATTGGTATTATTTGTTCCTACTTTAGTAATTAAATCTACTACTGATGTGACATTGTTATGCCTTGGTATATTGTTTAGAGTATCTTAAATTGCATTGCAAAACCTTTCTTCTCATCTGCTGCACAGTATTATTAAATGCTTGTAATCTTTGTGTATGGAGTAGAAAAACATGCAACTCTAATTTTCCTTTCCTGGGTTCAATTTTATTAGTGCTTTGGTGGCATTCTTGGATAGAAATAAAGCTACTCTTTTAGGTATGTATATTTTCTGCTTTGCCTGAGTTTAAAATGGTGGTCTTTTCAATTATTGTCATATTTATTCTTGTCTACTAGATCTAATATTCATCGGAAGATCCAGGATCTTGTTTAAAAAACAGGAAAAAAAAGGTTGAGGAATAGCAACCTGCACTGGAGATGCTGAACCCCCTGTTTCCAGACTCCATCACTATATCAGGGTGGGCAGTCCATGCCACAGGAGCAGCAGCTGGAGTCTCTCTCTCCTTTTCTTTTCTTTTCTTTTCTTTTTTTTTTAACTCTTTCAATCAAGTAATAATTTTTGCTGCCCCTCCCCTCTCCTCCACGCCCAGCATCACATCCCTTTCTCTCCCCTGCCATTCCCCTCCTCCCCCCACACCACTACCGCTGTACCCAACTGACAAGGGGTAGCTGCTCCTGCCCTGCTCCAGCTGGGCTGCACATGGAACCAGGCTTGGCTAGAGACAGCAGTGGAGAGAGGTGCCACTGAGTGTGGATGGGGAACATGGGGTGGGGGAAGGATTTTTACCTGATTTGGGGACTTAAAAGAAGTCCCTGGCTTCTGCTTCTGTAGCGGCGCTGATTGAGAGGCGGGTGCATCTGTGCCACTGCACCCTTTCTGAATCCGCCTCAGATACTTTTCTAGTACTTCTAATCTACAACTTTTCATCTAAGTAATAAAGTGAGTGCACCTACACATTTCATTCAACATGCACATATTCAAGCAGCTGAGTCCTGTGAATTTTATTGCTTCAGGGCTGAAGTTACAGGTCTCAGTGCCACTTCAGCTTTGGCTGTAGTCTGTCGTCATCTGTATGCCACATACAGCTTTCCCTCCAACTTCAAGTTGCCCCTCTTTGTAGTCATCAGTTTCTTTCACCAGAATGAGCAACTAGTCCATTCTTAATGCTCCTAATTTTACCCGGGTTTGGGACGGTCGCCAAGTGTCATTAGATAAGTAAGTCTGCCTTCAGGTATCTACAGAAGGTGCTGGAATTCAAACATGAATCAATTTTAGGAAGTCCTCTGTTTTGTGTTACAAGGTGGTGTCAATTCAGAGAATCACACAGGTTTTTCTGGCATTATCTATAAATCTGCTTCTGTACTTATATTTCCCTTTAGATATAAAATAATTATTGTTACTTCATTATTCCTTCTTTATATTCTGCATTTCATGCAAAGTAGTGTCCCTTATGCCTGCTTCAGAGGCTTTTTTCCTGTTTTCTGCTCTTCCTGGTTTTCTGTGGATTTTGGATTTTTTAATTTCCACTAATTGCAATTCAACATTGGGGTGATAAGCCATGTTACTCTGAGGTCAGGCAGAAGGTAGGACAGGGTGGAACCTTAGAAACTGACTGGTTCAGAAAGGCATGAGTTTTCATAGGCAACCACCTACTTTGTCAGACACTATGAAATGCCTGACAGAAGGAAAGGGTTTTATATAGAAGGGAAAGGGACAAGGACAGGGAGCACTGCTGAAAGAGAGAGTGGCTTGACTGGATCTTGGTCTCTCTGCTTTCCTTCTGCCAGTCCTTTCATAGTATCTGGTGAAGTAGGTTTTACTTATGAAAGCTTAGTCCCTTCTGAACTGGTTAATCTTAAGATGCCACCCTGCCCTATCTTTTGCTCAACAAAGCATGGGTACATGAGGCAAGATCTTGGAGCACTGTAGATATTTTTCTTCATAATGGTTATTATTTGATAGTAGCACTGTAGCCGGGTGTATTCAAATTAATGTTGTGGCTTATTCTGAGTCAGTAGGCATGTTTGCACTGTCAAAGGACTGTATTTGCAAATGCCTCAGTGAAGTGTGGTGTGCTTGTCAGTGTGCATTATTCAACATATATGTTCTTTTCCTGTGCTCAGTACTGATGTAACTGAATGCCAACCACTAGGACAAAAAGCAATGTGAATATCTGTCATTTATTCCTTCATGTTCCCAGGGAGAATAGCAATGGCAATCTTGGCACAGGTTAGGCATTAATTAGATCCTGTTTGCTTCTCCTCTCCAGGGCAGCCAAGTGAGAGAAATCTGTGGGGCAAGCTGGTAAGTGTGGCTCTTTAAGATCATTGCTACTCTGGAAAGGGGAGAGCTTTGGTTTCTACCCTGGACCCTTCCTCTCAA